TTAACCATCACCCCCTTCAGATAGCATTCCCCAGCCCCCCTTTATATCTCCCCCCTAAACATTGCAGTCTCTGGCCCCCTTCAGATCACAACCCAGCACTCCCCTCCCCCCCTACCCCCATCCCCCCCGTCTCCTTCATAGCAGTGACAGACCTCTCCCCTGTCCTACCTTACACAGAGAGTGGAGAGTGGGAGGCACAACAGATCCAGAGCAGATATCAGTGGGCAGGACCATTCTGGATGGAGGAACGAAGTTGCACAAGTTTTCCTGTTAACCATATTGTGATTGGTTGTTAAAACCTAGACCTACTGAGGACGTCCCACCCAAGACGTAACAGGTGTACGGGGTAGAGCCATATATATATATAGATCATTCTGCGGCCATCTTTTAGACACCTGATGAACCTGTATATGCCCGCTATCTTGCACTATTGAGTGTCCCAGCTTGTAAGTTTTATTCATTTTAGCAGTAAACGTTTCATTATTTGTATACACTATGGGTTGTCTTCTTTGGGTCTCTGCATCAGTGATGTACATTATATCATAGTGGAGGAAACGAGGGAAAAAAAAAAACCGCAACAAGCGTGACATTACTTGCCCTTAAAGGTAAAGCACTTTTGACCTAGTATTAACACAGTGGGGTTTATTTACTAAAGCTGGAGAGTCCAAAATCAGACTCCCTTCTCCATAGAAACCAATCAGCTTCTAACCTCAGCTTGTTCAATGATGCTTTGGCAATGAAACCTGGAAGCTGATTGGTTTCTATGCAGAAGCGAGTCTGATTTTGCACTCTCCAGCTTTAGTAAATAAACCCCAGTCTGTCTGCTGGTGGTTTGGCACACTGGTGATCATTACAGAAGATCTTTTTTTGTTTATATTTTGGATTCTGGGACATATCATTCACGTGGAGATTAATGGACACTCTGTTTTATTATTTATTTGGTTGCGCTACACTGTTCTATTTGTTTATGGTTCCTAGAACCACCATGCACCCTAGCAATCATTTGAATGGGGCAGTTCCCGTCCTCCTTCCAGCGCTATGCTGCCTCCCTATGTGTCACTTCTGTGAATAAGACAATAATAACAGCGGCTGAAGGGAAGAACCTCCTAAATGGCGCAACCACAGCGGATTTGGATGGGATGGCGACTTGGTCTGAATTTGGACCGCAGTCTACCATTTAGTGATGCCTGCTATAAGACATGCACCTAACCAATTACACACGTGTGTGTGTGTGTTTGCACATGCATAGGTGTGTTTTAGTGGAAAACTGACACAGTTAAGAGTCATATGCATTTGAATGAATATTTTGCTTAACTCAACATTCTTCAAATGGAGGTCAACACAACCGAGCTGAAACCATTATTAGACACTTATTTGAGCTGACCATGCACAATGTTCTTTAGCTCTATCAACAACGTAATAGAAGGACATGTGCAATTGGATAGAAATTTATTGGAATGTATAGTTTTCCCGCATATTAAAGTTTTGGTAAATTGTAAAATCAGATTGTAATGTGCATAGCCACCCTTAGGACTTCCAGCAAGTTTGCTTGAACAACAAATTTATGTACCTGTTGTAAACAGGTTCATGAATCTGGGGCACACACCATGTGCAGATGTGTACTAAGACAGGAACATTCATATGGACAATTCAAATGTTTAGCATTCCTAAAACCAGTCACAGAGAGGCATAATTCCAAGTAATTGTAACCCTGCACCGATTCCCCATTCCACAGGTGCCTCACAACACGGGATGGTTCCCCATGACACCTGCTCCCATTTCACAGGTATGAAGGGATGGGCTCCCATCCAACTTGTGTTGCACCTGCTGTCACAGGATTGGAGAACACTTATGTCACTTAGCGAGGATGACTCCGTAATCAAGGTGCATTGTGCACATAAGAGCAAATCGCTTATCATTTCCCCAGTAATCTCTACAGTACGGAGTCCTAACTAATCAGAAAGCAAGATGGACTATTTGCAATGCAAAAGCTGCAGCTACAACATTCTTCAATCTTTAAACTGCTAATAAACTTCCTGTTAGCCAACAGTTTTCAGCTTATGTGTTAGTTGGCAGGGACAAAAATTACTGCCTGACAGCAGGGCAGTTGCAGCAGAAAAGGATGCAGAGAATTAGAGGCTTCTTAATTGTAGGAGGTAGTAGGCAGTAGATGAGGTGCACTAAGTCTACGGTCTACTAGTAAAAAAATAAAACAGTATATGGAAAGTCTATTGCTGGTTATACTCTTGTATAACCATTTCCAAAAAAGCTGGGACGCTGTGTAAAATCTACATAAAAACCGAATGCACAAGCGGACACGCTTCCTTATCTAGGAATTAATCTAACCTCTTCAGTGGACATCAAGGAAATGATCCTCCCCTATATAAAAAATTGCAGGATGGATGATCTTTCCAAATGGGCCATTCATCCCCCATCATGGTTCAGTAGATTGTACTCAGTAAAAATGAATACTTTGCCTAAAATCCTGTACTTGTTCCGTACCTTGTCAATAATGATAAAAATGTCTAATTGACGCATTTTCCAACAGAAGGTGTTAAAATTCATATGGAGGAAATCAGAGGGCCAGGATGAATAAATGAATAAAAGTACGCCTTTTGCTTCAAGATTGATAGGAGGACTGGGGGCCCCAGACCTATCAAAATATTTTTATGCTGCCTAATTGGTCCCATTGATACGCTATCATTCTAAACACGTCCGCCCCCTTTGGATGCACTTAGAATTGTCCATATCCCTAATATCCCCATCAGCCATATCATGTGGCTGAAAGCCAAGGATAGGCCCGCAATTTTGTGTCCCATGTTATTATTTTCCCTTTCCTTATGGGATAGATTGGAGAATAGGCATGGTTTTAAATCTCCCCATACTCCCCTAGCTCCTTTATTGAGCAATCCAGCATTTCCTCTGGGACACAGCCCATCTGCTTTTGAATGGTGGACAAATAAAGGTTTTCTTCGGCTGGCGGATTTTTGTGACCATAGAGGCCCCATACCTAGGATAGTATTTCAGGAACAACATCACCTCCCCACTAAGGAACTATATCACCTCTCACAAATAACCCACTTTCTTCATACCCTTAGACGCACCAGTGACTTGTCCTCATTGACTCCAATGGAACATCTCTGTAGAAATCTAGATAAACACACTGGTCATATATCCTTGATATACGCTATCTTACAAATGGACTCCTCCAAGTTACCCTCTATGGAACGTTAGGAACAAGACCTGGGGGAAGTATTAGAGATGGTGGAGTGGAATAAACTGTTGGAGCTTAATTCTAAAAATTATATCAATACTTCGCTAATCGAAGTTAATTATAAGGTTTTCTTGCGGTGGTATTTGGTGCCCTCCTGCTTGACGTCTTTTGTTCAGGGAGCCTCCTCCGACTGTTTCCGTGGACAGGAGGGAACGGATCTCCATACGTGGTGGACCTGTAGCAAAGTAATGAGATTCTGGATTTGCACATATAGTTTTATATATTCACTTGCTCAGGTTACTCTTATCAAATCTCCACTTCAGGCCATCCTGGGGAAGCCGGTGGAAGGCATAATTGCATTTATATTTACTGCAGTCAGAATATCCATTGCACGGTCGTGTCGGTCCCCCTTGGTATCCCTTGACCTCCTGAAGGCTAAGCTGACCTGGATTATGGTCAATGAACGTTTGACCGCTATTCTTCATGATAGGTTGGCCTACTTTGAAAAAAACCTGGGATCCTTGGATGAAATATCTTAGCACTGTCCTAGGCAGGATGGTGGACAATATGGGGAATCTATATACAGTGTACATCTTGTACCCAGCACCTGGTTGCCCGCTGGTTCCTCCTCCCCCACACGTCCTTTCCGCCTCTTTCTCCCTTTTTGTTCTTTTTCTAGTTCTCTTTTCACTTTTCCCTTCTTCCCTCTTTTTCTCATTTCTTTCCTTTTAGGTTTCTTTTCCTGATATTGGATATCGTTAACTAAAGGCCATGGGGTTGGCCCCCCTTATGGCCTGTTGATAACTGGACGGTGATCGACCCTTCATAGGAGGTTATGGTAGTGTCTGATGCCAGGCCTGACAAAAAGTTTCAGTTTAGTTTTCATTGTCTTCTTTACCTTATTGTTGCGGGCCTTAAATTTATAAGTCCCTATGGGACCCTTTTGGCTACCATTGACTGACAATTGTATTTTGTGTATTGCTTGTATCAGCCCAGACGGGTGGCAGTTTGCAGATAATGGATGTATAATTTTCTGGATTGGCTTGTAATTCTTTTATAAAACAAATAAACATCACTGAAATGAAAAACCGGATGCAATCATTATTATTACACAGGATTTATATAGCGCCAACAGTGTTCTCAGCGCTTTACGATATAAAAAGGGAGACAATACAGCAACGATACAGTTCAATACAAGAGGGTTAGGAGGGCCCTGCTCCTTGAAGCTTACAATCTAAGAGCAATCTATGGCCTGCCTTATGGACCCCAAGATGTGTATTGAGATTAGATTCTGATAGTTAACAGACTGATAGTCCTATTAACAGTGCCCTTCCCCCCGAAGGGCACTGCAGCTATGCCCTTATAATGACAAAATGGCTGAGATGAGCTGGGACAAGAACAAAAATGGATGTCGCGTACAGCTTTTCATAGTCCCAATGCGCACAACCATTACACTACCCAACTTAAACCAGAACAGAGATTTAATAGCTCTCAAAGTGTATTGAAGTATCAATCTACAAGGTAACTATAGCTACTGGCCCCAAAAAATAAAAAAAAATCAAGGGTGGCAGTAGGAACTGTCTATGCAACCACTGAAAGTGCAGTCCTAGGCCCCAGAATACAGAAGAGGTATGAAAAGAATAAATACAGTAGTCCATATACCTAAGAGAAAGTGCAACTCCTGTACCCAGAAAACAAGTGAGGAGTGGAAGAAGGGAAACGTTCACGCAAAGTCAGCAGGCCATGGAAAAAGCAACATCAAACAAACAGGGTACAGCATAATTACCTTGCTTTGGCCAAATCATTCACTTTTTGTTCCAGCTCTAGCCTCTTTATCCTTTCTTTTTCCAGCTCCTGCTTCATTGTCTCAACATTAGTTTCTTCCCGTAGCTTCCGGAGCTCTTCCTCTGTGTCAAAGCAAAAAGAAAAATGCAATTAAAATCACTTGGATGGAACCACTTATGCATTGCAATCCCTTTTAACAGACTTATTGATATTGAATCACTAAAGACGTCCAGACGACACATGGGCACTTGTATTAATGAAAACCGTAAAGTGTGTTTTTTTCATTAATAGGCATCTCCTAACACACTTGAAAGCTGAGATCACAAATCAGATACATCAATTATCTATTTTTGTTAATCATAAGTACAAATCCAAGATTCATTACCTCTGTATTAAACTACATGGCACTAGATCACCTTTGTAAAATCAACAAACAATGGGGTATTCATCAAAAACAGTGCAAGTGCAAACAAGTGTAATGTTAACAAATTGCAATATAGGACGTGGGGAATAAGTGCCATATACCTCCTTTTGGGTGTGTGCAAAAAAAAAAAAAAAACTCAGTTTGGATTTCTGAAGTGTGTATAATTTATAATATTGGTACTTTTTAGGCGATATGAAAAACTGCCTAATTTTCAGCCCACATTGATTTTATAGCCACCTAACTGAAATTGTTGACTTTCAACATATCTGAACAGGCAAAAGTTAGATCTTTATTCAAACAATTCCCTGAATTGGTATGTATGTATGTATGTATGTATGTATGTATGTATGTATGCATACACACACACACACATATTAATAAACACACACACATACCTCATGCAGCAAAATGCATTTAAAATATAATATAACACTGACTTGTAAAACATACACTAGATTGCCAAAAGTATTGGGATGCCTGCCTTTACACACACATGAACTTTAATGGCATCCCAGTCTTAGTCCATAGGGTTCAATATTGAGCTGGCCCATCTTTTACAGCTACAACAGCTTCAACTCTTTGTGAGATCAGGCACTGATGTCGGATGAGAAGGCCTGGCTCACAGTCTCCGCTCTAATTCATCCCAAAAGGTGTTCTATCTGGTCGAGGACAGGCCAATCAAGAGCCTCCACCCCAAACTCGCTCATCCATGTCTTTATGGACCTTAACAGAAAGGGGCTATCCTCAAACTCTTCCCACAAAGTTGGGAGCATAAAATTGTTCAAAATGTTGTGGTATGCCGAAGCTTTAACAGTTCCCTTCACTGGAACTAGGGGGCCAAGCCCACCCCTGAAAAACTAACCCCACACCAGAATCCCCCTCCACCAAACTTTACACTTGGCACAATACAGACAGGCAAGTACCGATCTCCTGGCAACTGCCATACCCAGACATGTCAATCGGATTGTCAGACAGAAGAGTGATCCGTCACTCCAGAGAACACATCTCCATTGCTCTAGAGTCCAGTGACGACGTGCTTTACACCACTGCATCCGACACTTTGCATTGCACTTGGTGATGTAAGGCTTGGATACAGCTGCTCAGCCATGGAACCCATTCCATGAAGCTCTCTACGCACTGTTATGCTAATCTGAAGGCCACACAAAGTTTGGAGGTCTTTAGCTATTGACTCTGCAGACAGTTGGCAACCTCTGTGCTTCAGCGTGTGCTGACCCCGCTCTGTCATTTTAAGTGGCCTACCACTTTGTGGCTGAGTTGCTGTTGTTCCCAGTTGCTTCCACTTTGTTATAATACCACTAACATTTGACTGTGGAATATTTAGTAGCAAGGAAATTTCATGGATGGACCTATTGCACAGGTGGCAGCCTATTACGATACCACGCTTGATTCATGAATAGGTGCTTGACCTTACACCCCTGTGGCCATGAAAGTGACTGGAACACTTGAATCCAACGATTGAGAGGGGTGTCCCAATACTTTTGGCAATATAGTGTATGTACACTAATTCCGCATAGATAGGTTACACTCTAAATTTATTGGTGAACTAGAATTCATATGCGAAATACAATTGTACACGCATGATTGTTGAAAAATTGCATCCAAGAACATGACGCATTTTGTGGAAGTCACGTATGTGTAAAACATTGATGACAATATAGTCTAACAATATTACTAAATCTATGAAAGCAGAGGGAGCTCTCCATGTATAAATGGGGTCGGTCCCCTCCCTAACGTTTTAATTCATAAATGTTATAATTTATATATAAAATGAAGAATGACACTGAAGGTTAGGGGTCTTTGGGGATGCCTATCCCGGGAGCTGTGCCAGTGTAACCCGTAGGGACCAACAGCAAAGGCAGAGGGCAGGCAGACTTCCAAGGGAGTACAGCGCTGCATGTGGTAATCAATAGGAATGCCCATAACAGATCCAAAAGGATTTCTGTAAAGAGCAGTTATGAGTGCATAATTACATAAAGTATAGATAGAAATCTAAAATTAAATGGGTAGTATAAAGCCTGTGGTTACTCAAATAATGAAAATTAAATATGTAAAAAGCAAAAAAAAGTAAGAATATGTGATAACTAGTGTGCTAATGCACTGGTGACATTCACTAACAAAGTGAGTGAGAAGGAAGTGACAACAGAACCACAGTAACAAGTCCCCACATGGGATTCATACAAGTGAAGACTCAAAAAAAAAGTAAACCAGTAAAAAAAAAAAAAAAAAAAAAAGAGAAGAGGAAAATGTGCTAAAACTAGTACCTAATGATCCTGTATGTGCAGGCTGTAATCTAAAAAATACCCACAAAAAAAGGGCAAAAAGGCTAGTCCAGCTACACTCACTCCCCAAACGGGAGAGCAAAAACACGGGTATCTCCCAGCACCACACACACACTGCTAGTGAGGAAAGGTGCTTCCATCCAGGCGGAAAATGCAACCGGGCAGGTAGGAGTCTTAAAGACCATCCACGTGACAGCAAAGGATGGCTAATCACACATCGCCACCACTGCCACAAAAATGGGTGTCATGCGTACAACATGGGGCGTGGTGCCTATGCTCATCGAAACAATCTGGCCAACCCCCCCACAATCGGATATGCTGAAGGGGGAGAGCAGAACCTCACCGTGCGCATCGCAGCTCCAGGGGAAGACAACTCCTAAACAGCCCCAAATACAGACACGTCTTGCATCTTCTTCTCAGAAAGTGAACGGAGTTCCACGAAACGCCTCAAATTCTCGTATGCAGTTTTTCAACAATTATGCATTTACATTTGTATTTGATATTTGAATTCTAGTTTACCAATGAATTAAAGAGTGTACCCCATCTATACGGAATTAGTGTACATAGGTTTTACAAATTAGTATTATATTTTAACTGCATTTTGTTGTACGAGATCGTTTTGGACAGATGCCCTCATGTTCTCATCAAGCACACTTGAAATGATGCAGATAGTGTATAGTTGACTTAATGGCTGAAAGCTGCCTAGACCCTGAGGCAGCAAAGCAACTCCAAATTATGACATTTCTACCACTATGCTTCACAGTTATTATAAGGTTCTTCTCCTGAAACATGGTCTTCAGTTTGCACCAAACATGTCTTCTGTTACTAAGGTCAAACAACTATTTTTGACTAATGTGTTTTTTTGCACATTGTTCCAGAATGTCTGGTCTTTAGCAGCAAAGGCTTTCTTAACACATCTCTCATGCAGGTTGAACTGGTGCAATCTCTGACTGCAGATGCATGTATTTTGAGACCAACTGTAGCAAGGGTTACCTGAACAGCCCGCAATAACGTTTTGGGGTTCTTAGAGATTTTTTAGTTTCCAGCCTTCCAATATAATTAAAGATATGCTTGTCGCTCAATACCAAATGTATTTCAAGAAATTTAAAGTACCTTTGAGAAAGAGGCTAAAAGATTTCAAGCCCAGAGCTAGAAGGACAATATTCCTAGATTTACCAGCATGCCAAGGCCAAAATCCTACAATATTATACTATGTGCAGCTTAATTTCTTTTGCGATATATGGCATATTGAATACCCCGGAGTAGCTGAGGAGAGAATCTGAAGAGTGAACAACCCATTGTCAGCTAACTGCTGTATATACCCATGGTTGTGGGACAAGCGTGCTTGACCTTCATATAACAAGGGACCTTGCTATTTTTTTTTTCTTTTGACACCTGAAGCTCCTACAATATATAATTCCTATTGCCTCTTTAGCATCAGTTAGGCCTTGGGAATTTGCAAGGCTGGTCAGAACTAGACAAATTAGCAGTGGTTTGCAAACCACCCCATTTATAGATCATTTTCCTTACAGTTGAATGTTTTAAAATAAATTTGATGATCTTTTTAAATTGCTTGCCAGAATTTTTTTTAAGGGGGCTTTAACCACTAGCCTACAGGGCACTTATACCCCCTTCCTGCCCAGGCCAATTTCCAGCTTTCAGCGCTGTTGCACTTTGAATTACAATTGCACGGTCATGCAACACTGTACCCATATGAAATTTCTATTATTTTTTATGACAGATAGAGCTTTATTTTGGTGGTATTTAATCACCTCTGGGTTTTTTTATTTTTTCTTAAACAAACCAAAAACCACTGAAAATTTTGAAGAAAAAAAAATGTTTTTTCTTAGTTTTTGTTATACAATTTTGTAAATAAGTGCCTTTTCTCCTTCACTGATGTGCGCTAATGAGGCTGCAGTGATGGACACTGATAGGCTGCACTGATGGGCATTGACAGGCATCTCTGATGGGCACTGAAAGGCAGCACTCATATATGGCACTGATAGGCAGCACTGACGGGCACTGATGCACACTGATGGGGGGCACTGAAAGGCAGCTCAGATGGGCACTGATATGTGGCACTGATGTGCACTGGTAGGCACTGAAATGTGGCACTGATGGGCACTGGCAGGTGGTATGGATGAGCACTGACAGCTAGCACTGATGGACACTGACAGGTGGCACTGCTGGGGCTACACAGATTATCAGGGCACACTGATCATCAGTGCCCTGATTATCAGTGTACATGTCCCCTCCAAGGGATGCCGATTACCGGCTCTCCTCTCCCCTCTAGCTGCCAGCGCGACAGCTCGTGAGGAGAGAAATGCCGATAACCAGCATTTCCCTATTTACATGCGATCAGCTGTGATTGGACTCAGCTGATCACATGACCGAGCTG